TCTTCAGAGCTGTCACAAAATAAAGATAGTCCAAAAATGAAAAGAACCTCTTTCAATGACAACTATAATAAAACCGCATTCTAAGTTGTTTATGGGAAAGTGGGTTTGAGTTAGAAATTTTCATTGATATGGCACTTACGTAACTACATCTTTTGAGCAAATATTGTATCCTGATATCAAAACTTGCAATAGAAAAAAATATTGAGTCTTCTCTTCATTAATTTAGGAATTGTTTGTAGAATTTTGGGAGTCGTTCATATAGTTTTGTATTCGACTGCTCAAATCTCAACAAAATTTCTTTTTGCTCTCTAGAATTATATGTATAGATACGGAGGATATAACGGCATCCTTGAAGCTGATATTGTGCCTAGCGCGAGAGGCCCTGGGGGAACTTTCGGCAAGAGTTTAGACGACGAGAATGATTACTTTGCCATTTGCAGTGGATTTGGCGGTAGCTCTCGCGGCTGGCTGCGGCAGCATTGGGCTGCTCGGATACCATGCACGCCTCCCGGAATACTGATGCCGTCCAGCGCTCGGCGAAGCACATTTTGAGCGCTTCTTTGAGCCCGGTTTTCTCTACGTAGGTAGGATCTTATCAAATGGGAGCGTTAGAATAAGGGGGCCCTTTTATAATGGCAAAAATCGGTATAACACATATTTAGTGTATATTGCCTCTAAGGCAACACTGCATTTATTTCTGAATGCCCACTCTTTTCACTCAGTGTGATCAAGAGACGTCAATTCATCAAACACTCAAGCACTTCATATTTGTGACGATGTGTTGGACTTAAATTTGTTGGAGCAATCATGTGTGTGATCAAATGTGATAACGAAAAATCAAAAACAAGAAATGACTTGTTTCCGCAGCTTCACATGTGAATCATCTTCCTATACGCTTACAAGGCAGGGTCACGATGTCGAGGTAACCGATCATCACAAATTGCATACCATTGGTGAGCAAAGAGCTGATACCGATTCTGCTTCTCCTATTTGCAGAGCTCTTCTTGGAAAAAAGTTATGAGCATTTGTTGAGGTAAAAATGAATATATTTTTGTGGTAAAATCATTCGCCAAAGCTTCTCGAGACCTTAGAAGCCGCTGCAAGTGTCAGGATACATAATAATGAACTCATTCTGCGTAGTATATCAGTAATTTCTATTGCTCCAGGTGACGTCAAAAAAGACCGTAATGATTAATTTTAAACCGGAAATGGGTCCATTTTTCCGCCTCAAAAAATGCTCATAACCTCCTTACCTAAAGCGCTCTGCAAATAGAAAGCGGAAGTGGAATCAGCGCTTCAAGCTCTCACTAAGGACTGCATGCATTAACATTTCCGCGGAGAGGGGATCGCAGCTCAAAAGAAAGCTTTATATTCTGAAGCTTCAGATATCTGGATTTCACATTGTATACCTATCCGTGAGTATTCCTACTATCCTTCATTATGAACACATTGAAACAGGAGCGGAAAGCTGTACAAGCCTCATTTTCCAATATTGTTTACTTCCCGGTGATCCGCGGCGCTTTTCTTCAAAGTCATCTTTCTTCCTCCGAGGCCAACGAAAAGCTTACGAGCTTATGCAGATTATCTCCAACAGTGTTCAGCATGTTGCTGATAAGAACAGGTGATGTATCGGAGTCATGAAATTTGCGAATCACAAGTCGAAAGTTAGGGTTCACCGTGAAGTTCAATTTTCTAAAAACGCATTTTTTGATCAGCAACATGTTAGCACTGTTGTGTTAGATAATCAGTGCAACTCTGGAAGGTTTCCTTTAGATTCAAAGGATGAAAAATAATTTTGAAGAGAAGCGCCGGTGATCAGGGATCATACAAAAGCTGGAAAATTCTGCGTGTACAGCTTCTTGCTTCACTTCAAGATGTTGATTGTAAAGGATGGTAGGAATACTAGGAATACTTACGGGTAGGTAGACAGCGTGAAATCTACATATCTAGAGCTTAGAAATATGAAGATTTCTTTTTAAAGCTGCGATCTCCTCCCCAGCGGAGATCTTAATGCATGCGGCCCTAAATGTAAGCAATTTGTGGTGAGAGTTAGTGCTCAGGCTCACATTACAAGCGCATAAAGCAATTCCCATGCTCAGGAGCAGTTTCAACCTCACAAGCTTGGTGTATAAGCCTCAAAACAGTTTCTGGAGTTCGTTTCTAGAACCATTTCATTATCCATGAGCTACAAATATATCGTAATTTTACAAAGTGAGGCAGTGAGCTTTGGACCAAAAAATTTCTCAAGAGAACTGAGCAATTTGTCAAACAAAAACGCCAAAAAGTTTCCGCTATCAGAAAATACGAATTTCATTCAAAATAGTTGTTCGAAGTGCTTGGGAAAGGGGTGCAGACAATTTTTATAAGCTTGAAGCATTTAGAGTAAAGATTCTGTAAGTGCTACAGATGAGTAGTTAGTAGTTGTCGTCGTGACGCCTGCCCTCCGATTCTAGAGATTATATAGTTTGGTTGAGATAAGCGCCTCGAGGCATTCATATCGCAAAAAAAAATGTCGCATTGTTTCTTTCCTTGTCAAAGTCGAACAATTTCTCTTTTTGCTTTGTCCATTCCGGAATTCAAAGCATTGGGTTGAAAGGGTTTGTGTATCAAGTGAAAGAGAAAGAGAAGAGTTCTTGAATAATACCAAATTTGAGTAATAGTCCTTTTGCTCTTATAAGAAATCTTGAATTAATTTTGTAGACGCATAATACCGTACATCCACATCCTGCAGGCATTATACCGAGAAAGTTGATTTTTGGCTTGATTGATGTACAGCACAATACTTACTCACTTTTCAAGCAGATCTGGGACCACAACTCTATATTCAACTTCAGCTTGATGAGATTAGTAAATTAGTGAAAGGAGAAAGTTTCCTTGCTGGCAGAAAGAATAGTTGAATATCAATACTGCTTTCGCATTCACTAAACGAACAAAGAGATGGGTCCAAATATTCCGAGATTTTCCAAAATTACTCACTAACTATTATAGAAGTATTTCTCAAAATCTTCAATTTTTTGGCGGAGGAGTATGATCTGTTTTTGACATCTGCCTACATTGCCTTGAAGTAAAACCCTACGTAGCAAAACTAGGTCACGCTTTTCTGGATAAGCTTCTGAACATACGTATTCGATCGTAATAGCCCTATAACTGACACGTGACTGATTGCGCTTCTTCTAGATTGAAATTAAAGGCAGATTCCAGGCTAAATCTCACCCCTCTGTTTAATGCCGACCATGAATGTGGGTCCCAGGAGAGGTGCATCTGTTTTGGCCCGATCCAAAAGTTGTCTCTGAATGGGGATTACGGATCTGGAACAGCGAAAGTGCTATCAAGCCACGTCCGGATCCTATCAAGATCTACCCACCCAAGTAATGAAACTCGTCTATGCCTTGAATAGGGCTCCCGGAATCGGGGTTTTTTTTTGGGATTTTGGACAATTCGAACTTCATAACTGTAATCTGAGCAAGGAAATGCCTCAGAATGACGAAAACATAAGAGGCAAAATTTGAGTGGACGCTGCCTTCAAAAGCTGATATAGCATAAATCTTGGCAACTCCAAGTGACATTTTAGAAGCCTTTCATATTTGTTGGCTCTCGAGTTGTAGTTTTGCTCCTCTGTGGTTGGCAAGATTTCCTCCAACTAGTACCGTTTGCTCTGTGTTCCTTCTACTTAACAATTACTATACACGCCAAAGCCACTTCAAAATGTGCATTTGGAAAAAGTTTTTTTTTGATTTCCTCACATTTCGAGGTGGAACTTTTCATAGAAAGCGCCCATGTTGAGTCATCCAGCGCTGTCGTTTACAGATGAGGGCTTCGCTGTCAAACATGTGTGGATAAAAACTGCTAGCTAGTTGACACATTTATTCTTTCTTTAGTGTATCGATTATATTTTTAAGCGCAACCTTGCAGGAGCCAGAATAGACCTCGATAGAGTAGGAAGTCTCATTTTTGAGCAAGCATCCTATATTGATCGTTCCAAGGGGTGCCTGAATAATTATTGTTCACTGTTTAAGACATATGCTTACAAGAATTCAAACCACTTCAGACATTTAAGTCTGCTGTACTCAAATCCAGGGGGCTAGTGTTTTCAAAAAAAAGTAGCTTCGCCGCCACGACCTCCAATCTTTAGATAGTTGAGAACGAAGAAGACCAGGTGAACTATTTTGGAAGAGCTGGTATTCACGTCATTGTGAAATTTTTGCGCCTGCTATGCAATGCAACAAAAAGAACAAAAACGACGATTTTTTCACTTCCATTTACTCTTCTAGTTCGCCAGATATTGCGCCCACGTTGTATGCACATGGAGTAGATAAGGTAATTTATAGGCGTTGCGTACTCTTTTGTAAAATTTCTTACGCAACTAAACTTTTCGTGTATCGCATCAAGAGGTAAAATCAAATATTGCTGGTAAGCATAAAACTGGTTTTTTGCGTTGGAATGCACGTTGGAATTCTTGGAGTGCATGGCTATTGGCACGTATTTTTTCTACGAAAAAAATTTTTGCACTCATTCCCCCCTCCCCCACCCCCTCCTCTTCTCCCCTCCCACCACTAGCAGAAGTCCTGAGGACACCACTGAGCTGTAGACGAAAGCTGTCTCAAAGAGCTGTGTCATAATTACAAAGGTATAGCATGTTTCTATCGTTTTTCATCAACTTCGATAAAGAACTCGCCGCGTTTATGATAAAAGTGATAATATTCATGTTGAGACTCTAACTGCATAATGCATTGAATAGTGATACACGCTATACAATTACTCATAGATATAGCAAGCTTTTTTCGTTATTTATTTACAAAAATAGACCTACGGCGGATGGTGCGAATAAGCGTTGGCAAAAGTTTGTTGCTTCAAAGTGTTTCGTTATTTAATAAGTATAACCAAGGAAAGATGATGAATATAGTAACTTTGACGTGCACTCCACATAAAATTAAAGTAATTTTAAAAGAGATCAGGTCACTTCACCGTAAAAATGATTGACTTTACCCCGAGCAAGTAGTTTAAGGTTTGAAAATTAGTACCTTTTCAAGCTCACTTAATATCGGATCCTTCGGATAACTTTCTTGCTTCCTAAATAATGTAATTCTTGCATATAAAAGAACTTGACGAATTTGACAATGACTTCATCTCCTTCAGTGTTTCAAAGACCATTCGTGTGACATCGTTTGAATGTAGCTTTGGGCCATTTCTGAATTCTAATGAGTTGTAAAAAATTGGTGCGAATATATGAGATACCTGATTTGAAATCTAAAAACAACTGGTATTCTCGAATGTGAAAGAATTTTTTTGAGATCTTCCTCGAAATAGCAGTTATAGTTCTAGAAAAACTCTTTAGAATACTTTCGCAACAAACTTTCTATTGCGGAGAGAATTAACCTTTGACTCAACTGGATTGGCAGAAGGCGGGGCTTTGTGAACTAGTTAAGGCAGCTCGCAGCTGCAACACAGTCTGCGTCTTCTCGTGCGCGTGCTCTCTAATCATTCCTAGCCTTAAATAAGTCAGAAGTCCCGCCCTTCAGCAGCCAATCCAGTTAAATCAAACGGAAAAATGAAACCTTCAACTTACCACGGGGCTCCACACCCCTGTAGTATTTAGGATATAATTTCGGAAGCCGGCATTTATTGCACTCTGCCAAGGTATTTTCTCATCTTCATCATGACAGGGGGAGATGAAGAATTCTTCAGACACTATCAAAGGTAGAGACTGAAGACAAAATATTCTAATACATACATGTGAGTTGTAATTAATTTGTAGTAGTGGCGCAGTACCGCACTCACCGCAAAAAGGACAAAAAATTTGAGCATCATCAATGAAATGAGGATGTGCCTGTAGACTAACTGCTTGCTTTATATGAAGGAACGAATGGCTCATTTCGAAATGTCAGAGTTCCAGGCAAATACTAGCTTTGCGTTTATTCATAAGGGCTTCAATTAGCACAGTGGTAGTTTACCCGGACAGGCACTAGTGCCTTTAAACATTTGTGGTCTTTAACTTTGCTGTCCGGTCAACATCTACATGTGATATGTGTGAACTTATAAAGAGACGCAAAATACCCGTTTGTTATGGCTTCAGCTTTTCCTTATGAAATTGCTTAAATGGGCTCACAGGGCATGCGTACGTTCTGATAGATAGCTTGATTGACCGCCTCTCAATCACATATGTGATGATGGAGATACACTTGGAACTCTCTTTATCAGCTCTTTAGCTGAAGGGTAAAAACTCAAAGCAAATGTACGGCAAGTCAAATTACTTAAATCGCTCCATATATGTTTTTTCATCCAACCTCAAAATTATTGGAAAGTTGTCAATATATAAAAAACTAAAACAATTTTCGAGCTCATGAGATACTCTTGATCCTGTTAGGAACAATTAAGCGTCCACGAAACGATTTGTCGCGGAGAAAAAACACCACAGAATTACGAATGTTATTTTTCTTAGCTTCACAAATGAGTATAAGTTTCAAAATCTGATAACTAGTGCTCACATAGCCAGAACTTGGCTGTTCCTCTTTGAACTAGTTGAGCATTGTTATGTAACACTCATTTTTTCGCGAGAAAAGTACAATAATCCACGATTAGCCGTAGCGAAGTATTTTCTCCAAACTTTGTGCGTTGTGCTGATGAAATGTATACAGTACCAATCTTAACTTCTGCAAAATTAGATCAAATTGAGCTCGACTCTCAGGCCCCTCCGTAACTTGGGCGACCTTCGCGCGAATCGATTGACGGTCACCTCAATCGAGTGAGTGATTGTCACCTGAGTTAGGTGACATAACCGCAGCATGGCGATATATTGCTTTAGAATGAACGAAATCCGAATCCGAGAACAACATTCAACGCATTTACTGATGTACTGGAAGTGAATGTACAGTAATCACACGTAGAAATTTCATACAGTTCTGTTTTAACTTTGGCATGGAGAGCTTAATGGGTGTGCAGATTATAAAGCTGACATTTATGTGTTGCATGATTTTATATTATATAAATATTGGGTTGTTTCAAAAGTTCTACCCGTTTCGATACCTTTTTTTGAACTGCCGATTTTGGAGGAAAAAATCGTTTTTCATAGACAATGCTTGTATTATTCAAAAGCTCTTTTCTTCTAGTTTTTCAGGCATACTTTCGTTTTCATAGATCTTTGTTCGCTGTGTGGTTGCGTACTTTAAAAAGACAGCGAAACAAATGTGAAAATTTTCTTCTTTGCTCTATCGCCTGAAATCTACAGCCAAAAGAAAAAATTTCTTTTAAAACATACATAATGTTTGCTGGAGATTTGTGCTACGAAACGCTCATCAAGACATGATTTCAGAAAAACTTTGAACCTACAAATTCTTAGCTCAAACATAACCTGTCTTTATGGTCCCTTCAAGTCGCATAAAAATCATAAACATATTGCAATCGCGGAACTTTTACTCTATATAGTAAGACTAGAGCTAGAACAACTGCTACTAGAAGAACGAAAATATTTCCTAGTTTGTCAACGGCGAACAAAATTAAAAATGTCAAAAAACTGCATTTTATGCCGACTCAAAAAGAGCAAAATAAGTGGGTTCTTTCGGATTTTTCAGCACAAAATTTTTATGAGAGAGTTTGATAAAATCCAAAGTTAGCGGTACTGCTCAGTCGACTATGGGCTACGCTGTGAGCAGTGCTTATGCAACTCAGCTATATTCCAAATCAAGTTATGTTTTTGCAAAGTGAAGGTTTCTACAAGGAGATGTTCTTCGATTTTTGCCTATAAAATCTTTTCCACTGTTACTGCAATAATCTTGAAGAGTGCGCAGAATAGCCAAAGATTTGCAGATTGTAATACAGTTTATAGCATTTACAAAGATTATTTTTGAAGAGTTATGATGAATCAAAATCAAAGTTTGAAAACGGGTAGAACTTTTGAAACAACCCAATAGTATATATGCTTAAAATTAGTTCAGAGGGGCCATCTAACATACCGGTTTCAATAGGTAAGTCGCTTTGCACCGAACAGCTTTGAAATCTGTTCAAGGTGGTCAATCGATGCTCTGTCAGCTGATATAATTTTATTACTGTTGACGGCACGCGAGGATACGGTACAACTGTGTAAAACTCTGCGGATGTGTCTAAAAAGCATTGATCAAGAGGAATTTTACGTGTTCTTCTAGAAGATAATGCTGTAATTTGCCATGCTGTCACTGTTTTGGATGAGGTTGCGTTTATTACTAAGATTTGCAATGTTGTCATGTATAATAATGCGTTCTTGATCTGTAGTGACACCATGATTTAGCTTTATGTAGTAAACCTGAATATTTGCGTGAGCGCATTTCCGTGGCAGTAAAACGCAGCGCACTTTGTACATAAAGAGCTCAAGAAAGCGTTTTCCGAAAGATCTGTTTTAAGCAATACCAACTTTCTACATATTATTCTGTCCCAAAAGTAAATTCCATTTTCAAATAAATTGAGCTGTTTTTGTTTTTCGACAGATTTAAGGTACCATTCGAATTCGATAGAGTGGAACAAGCTCTACAAAAAGGCTACCAAAAATCCACATAATATTTAACCCAGGTAAAAATTGGAAAATTCAAAATTTTTCAGGTACCTTAAAAATCTGATCTCCTTTCAGAAAATTCCTGCGGATTTCCAACCTAAATTTTTTATAGTGGACGTGTAGTAGTACCCAAGTATGAATTTAGCGGACTTTTTTGAGGCTCAAAATTGAGAAACAGGGGTGGTCCCAAAATGCCAAGTGCCACTTTTTTCGGATTATATGTGTAAAACTTGGTGATTCTCGATTGTAAGAACACATGCAGAAGTGAAATTTGAGTTTATACTTAGTAAGGCTTGTAGTAATAATCGCATAGGTGAGAGGGGTTGGGGGGCAGAGTTTGATTTTTGGACTATCTTATTTTTCTCGCTTTCTATGCGCGGATAAATCCAGTAGAGGCATATTTAAGTACTAATATGTGCCTGCTGTATAACGACCAAGTTGGAGGTCCGTAGGCTTTTTCTTCGCAAAAATCCAATTATGTAACAAATTTTTTTTCGATTTTGGCTTCAAATTTTCCATGGAATGCGAATTAGGCGGATCCATGGTGGATAAATTGTAGAGCTTGATCTGCTCCAACGACTGATAATCTAAATTTACTAGGAAAACAAAAACAACTTAAATTAATTAAAAAGGAGTTTACTTTTGGGACAACCAATATTATAATGAATTATTATTTTGTATAGTAAGTTCTGTCACATTTTTTTATCTCGTTTTTTCTCTATAGTTTGTTGTGATCAATAAAGTAAGCGTATGCATCAGAAAGCTTTCAGTCTTCTCACCTTATTTTCAAACTTCGTTTGTGCAGTTTAGAAAAATTCAAAAAAATTTTTGCTTTTAAAGCGAAAATCTAAGGTGGCCAAAAATCAATTTTCGACAACGGCATTGCAGTGAGTTCCAAATATTCGGTCGTCCCAAAAGTTTTGTCCGTTTTTCATCGCACATTAAAAGTCACAGAACATCACTCCATAGACAACCTGGACACCAATTGATTCAGATTTTTATCCTCTTTCTTACAGCTATATCTGCTCTTTAATCTAACCTGTATTTGCAGTGTTATCGTCATGGATTTTTGAGCAGCTCAGCATTAACGCCAGATCTTTCTGAATATTAAAAACTTTTATGCTGATTTATTTGTTTATTTTTTATTCATTTAAATGTTTTGATGTTTTTTTGGTGTTTTCAAAGAGCGCTGATAACACTATGTAGAGCAAACCTTTGGCTAATTTGCACCCAATTTAGATTACATGGGCCACATTAACCAAGTTCGTTGTAATTATTTGTTTAATAGAAACTGCGGCTTTTTGATTACATTCACCACGTAAGGTACCGAAAATTCAAAAAGCTGCTTTTTTGAAGAAACCGAACTCGGTCATATTGCATAAATAATATTTAACAAGAATCGTGTTTTAATTCGCAGAAACTTCAAAAGCTTTCGTGTATTTGCTGCGCTGCGTATTTCATGACTTAGCTAAAAATCAAAACCCCTAAACAAATACTTCCTGAGGCTAAAAACAGCAGTTTGAGAGAATCTAAAGATAACGCGTTGTAGTCAGAAAATTGCTCTAGTTGATCTATGCTTAAACCTTTTTGAAACTTCGGAAAGAAATTTTCAGGAATTAGCCTAACTATGGGGTTTGAATTGAGGGGTGGGGAATTTTGGCAATTATCAAAAAAAGCATACAAGATTGTGGTTTGAAAATGCACGCATAAAAAAGAGGAGGAAAAGTTGCATCGAAACATGTTAGGACTCATTCAGGTCTTTATTGTGCGTGGTTTTACAATGGTTGAAAAACCGGATGAAAATTTCGGGGCAACCTAATAGGCAGCAGACCTAAACAACAGCTGGAAAAGAATTGCGAACGGATTCGAAAGGTTGCCATAGCCTTCATATGCTCAAAAGTTCTAAAAAAATTTAAAAATTTACTTTCTACCCTGAACATGGCTTTCCTTCCTAATTTCTATTCAACTCCATTAGGCATTTGAAAAAGTCCTGAAAGAAAACGATAAGCGGACAATCCGCAGATTGGCAGAAGGGGGCGTTAACGCAAAGCTCGATTACTGGTTACTTACTCAGAAATGGAAGATTAAGGGACACACGACATAAGTAAGCGAGACAATAAGCGCCGCGGGGAAAACGCCTTGCTTCGTCAATCATAAAAAAACATTAATCTGTCAGAGAAGGAAATGGAGCAAGCCTAGACGGTGACACTAATTGTACAAATGATTATAAGTTTTTTAATTTGTTTGTTACGTTTTCTGAGTAAATTTTACCGATGGAAAATGAGAGAAAATGGAGAAGAAAAAGATGTAAAAAGATGTCGGAACTGATTTTTTTTGCCTGTTTGGATATTTCGTTTTACAGCAAAAAATCTTCCTGCTCTCAAGCTAGACAAACATTTTCGAAAATGAGTAGCGGAGACTGAGAGCTTTCTGATGCATATGCATGCTTTATCAGGCACAGCACAAAATGTGAAGAAAAAACGAAATCAAAAAATGGACAGAACTTATTACACAAGCTAATGCATCCAAAATTACAGATGTAGATTATAACATGTTTATGCTACTCCACGTTCTAGTTCTTAAGTAGACTGTATTAAGTCAATCATTATCCGATTCTGCCAACCTATCTCGTGTGCTTTTCAAAGATGATTTCGATGCAAATACAACACATTTCTTGCATTCATCCATGCCGGCTTCCAGCTTTCAGCATGTGTGTTCGTCGAATGGAGTTTATCATATAATCAGCATCCAAAATGGAAAACAAATGCAAAAAAACCATTTTCATTAGTTTGTACTACGTCTTTTGACGTTCTTCATGCTGATGATCAACCTCAAGAAATTTTAAGGGCGTCCGAGAGATCATTAATGTACAATACTTCCGTCCAACTATGCTCTAAATACGCAAGGAAAGATGTTGACTTGACATTTTAAGAGTGGTTGAAAAGGTTTATTTTTGTTTACGAGACTATCACCAAACGATTTCACTTCACTAGGACAGGAAGTCGTACGAAGAAATTTTGCAAAGAGTTGAGCTTGTGTTGAAGAGTGAAATAAGGCTGTAAACGATGAATTCATTTACACTAATTTGCTGTTTGTTTACTGTGATTTTGAGAGGAAATTCTCTACAAGTTGAAAACGGGAATCGGAAAACTGATAGAAAGGTTTTTTACTTACTTGATTCTAAATTCCATATTTTGCTATAGAAATTAATGAAGTGGAGCAATGTGGAAAAGGATCAATTCACACTTCAAGGGCACTATTGAATTTTAAAAGAAGCTAGATTTGAAGAATATAATTACCACACAAGCTAGTCTAACGGGGGAAAGATTGGGTGCTAAAGGTGTCGGGTGGTCTGCGGTAATTTATATTAGGTCGTCCCGAAAGTTTTGTCGGTTTTTTCAGACCACTATAAGACCACGCAAAATGAAGACCTGAACGAGTTTCAACAAGCATTCGATGCAGCTTTTCTTTCTTTTTCTTGTGGTTACATTTTCGAACCACAATCCTGTATGCTTACTTTGATAATAGCTGAAATTCTCACCCGTCATTTTTGTCTGCTTAAAGTTTGGCTAATTTTTGAAAATTCCATTTTTAAGTTTCGAAAAGGGTTAAGTAAGGATCAAATAGAACAGTTCAGGGACTACAAGATGATGTTTTTAGGTTCCACTAATTTGCTGATTTTCGCTTCAAAAAATTATTTCTTCTGAGGTCTCGATTTTTGGCAAAGTCATGAAACACGCAACTGCAGCAAAAACATGAAAATTCTGAAGTTTCTGCGAGTTGCAACATGATTCTTATTGTATACGATTTATGCAACATTACCCAGTTTTACTTGCTTTGAAAAAGCAGCTTTTGGGAATTTTCGGTACTTTTACGTGGCAAACGTAATCAAAGAGCCGCGGTTTTTGTTAAATAAATAATTAAACGGACTTGATAAACGTGACCCACGTAATCTAAAATGGGTAAGATGTAGCCAAAGCTTTGCTCTATATAACAGTTACCAGTGCTCCTTAGAAATATCAGGATAGAAATTTTTAAAATTCAGGAAAGGTTTGGCGTTACTGTTGAGCTGCTCAAAAAGCCATGGCGATAACATTGCAAAGACAGGGTAAGTCAGAGAGCAAATAGGGATGTAAGAAAGAGGATGAAAATCCAAATCAAATGGTACCTAGAACGTTCATGGAATGGTGTTCTGTGAGTCTTGAGCGATGAAAAAGACCGACAAAACTTTCGGGACAACCTAATATTATTGCGCAATGAATGCCAATTTGATCTCTGTCGAAGCAAGATTTTTGCGTTTGCTACAACTGCTATATCATCTCAGAAAAGCTTTCCGCAGATAGCCAACCTAGTTTTGAGGTCACCGTTTCAAAGAAAGCATTCTGATGTATAATATATTGAAATAGCCACGGTCACAAGTTATTCTTCCTGCGTAAGAAGCGAACGAAACGAGCTAATGGAGCATGAATAGCAAAATCTCCGCAGTAGATCGTGTTTCTAGAAAATGCTACTTATCTTTTTTAATTTTTTGTTTACTGTATCACCCTTTCATATCGCAGCGTTCGACCAACAAGTAAGTGGAGGACGCAGTTTTGCAAATAACCCTCTATTTTGTTTCTCTTGGACAACCACTTAGTTGAACGCTTTTCTTTTCAAAGGAAACTGTACCATTTACACATTTTACTGAGGTCTTGCGGTACATTATTAAAATAACTTCATAAAGAGTTATATATTGGTAAGAGAAAAAGAGATCTAATTACAAGCTTCACTACCATTTGGCGCCCTAATTTCACACATATCAAGAAAAATCATTGAGTGGATGGCTAGTGCTTTCAACTTGTATTTTTCGTAAGTGTATAAACTCGAAGAGAGTAAGTACTCAGCAATGAGTTCGTACTAGTTAGTAGTCACGGAAAAACGGTTGCAGACAACCATTCTTGCCTTCATTCTGCTTAGGTGTAATTTTGCAGCAAACGCCGAAGGAGCAGAATCAACTATCTGTAAAAGCTGCAAGCCAGGCATTAGTAGACTGCTCTCCTATGTTCATTAGTAGTTGATGGAAATCTAAGATGTAATACATTATTGTCGTATATACAAGGTGTCCTAAAAATGTGCACCCTGTTTGATAGTTGGTAGCTCTCTCGCTTCAAAGTTTTTGACAATGTCCGGATGCCTCTGCGTAGAATTGGCTTTAGCTTAAATTTGCAGGTTTGAACCGAGTCACTGATCGTTCTTCATTACAGTAATACTGGGTAAGAACTTTAATACTCAAAATCGCAGTGAACCGAGCAAATGATGAGACTTGGACTTGCGAACCTCCATTGTCAAGAGGGCATGCATCGACTATCGCAGAATGCAGAGAATTGTGTTTTCATTTAAAAAAAGTTTGTAAACACTGCATGATATGTAACTATTCAAGCTCGTCCTTGAAAACAAGAACTGCTTAAGCTTGATTTGTCCTCCTCTCTGTCGTCATTGATAGCTAATAGAAACTAGGAGGGGAAAATGTGCAGGAATATTGTTGTAAGGCTGTACCGCATTCGCTCCGTCAACAGATGCTGACGTCTTAATTGCCTGTATTTTGTGTCTCTCAATATTAACCACCTCATTTTTATTCACAAATTCAACATAAGATCTTGTTTCTATGTATATGTAACATAGATAGAGAATTAACAAAATAGACTAGTCAAAAACAACCCTTTTTCCACTGATTTCATAATTTATTAAATCCTTTTAAGCAGTCGTGAATGGATTGCTTTCAGTGACAAATATGTAGCTAGATGTTTTCACTCACAGTGGCGGGTCAACAAATGACCACGTCAGTGCCTAATGAAAGGGAAGTCTGATATGAAAGAAGCAATGTATTACAGTTGGTAGACAGTGTATAACCCCTATAGGCCTAAGGCATACCTCACGCGATTCGGCCGAATCGCCACTTTCACCCGACTTGGCGATTTGCCAGATTTCTACAAATTTATCGTGCCGCTTCTCGGACGCATATTTGGGTAGCTTGTGTAAGTTGTTGCAAGTTCTGACCAAAAGCAGCGCATTAACGACGAATTGCGGAGAGTCGCTGTTGTGCCAAACTGCGCAGTGACCGGAATCGCGCAAGGTATGCCTTAGGCCATAGGGCCCATTCCTCCACCTGCTAGGCTCGTGCTTGCTTTATCATTGCCTAATATTCAGCGAAGGGCTATAGTGGTTAGGTACTAACTTATTCCATATAGTAAGTGCAGGAAACATTATAATATGGGACATCAACCTCTCCTGACAACTTCTGACGACGAGGATCCGTTCCATTAAGACATCCAACGTTGACTGTTTTCATTTTAGGAATCTAAAAGTTCAGATTTTGTTGGAAAAGCTATCAGTCACTTTTAGCCAACTGTGGCGAATCTTTGAAACTGAAAGGTTCTTAAATGCTAACAACAATATACAGTACAGTATTAAAAGGTATTCTTGATTGTAGCTACGTTTTCAACAATCAAAATTATCGATGAGCGGATTTTCTTTATCCTATCCACTGCGCCGTGGCTGGTGTATGAAAGGTCTTTTGGGACACAAAACATCAAACGCCCATCATTGCTGGTTTGTTTTGCTTCTGACTGTAAGATTGACTGATGTTCAAAACTACCCATCTAATACACTGGAAAATTGACATCTAAGAAAAATAAAGCATAGGAAAGATGAATACATTCAAAACTCAAAATTATGAACAAAAAATATGGAGTCTTGATAATATAGCTATATAATGCTGTTACTGCACTTACTGGCGCGTGCTGGAAGTAAAAAATGCACCGTCAATAGAAAGAATCTCAAAGAAGGCGAAGTAAATCGTTTCTGTAGGCACTAGTATGTAATATACCAAAAAAAAAACAGATTTTTTCGAAGACTTAACGGTCTTGCAGTGATTATCCATGAGTGCTTGCAAATTCATGAGGCACTGACTTTTTGGGTACAAACATAATTTGCTGGGTCTAAAGGGGCATCCCACAGATGGCTGAAGTTCATTCTATAAGAATTTTTTCAGCTGCTCGATAAGGGCCTTCAATAGTAGCAAGCCCACTGGAGATAAGAGAATAGAGAGTCTATGAAAGAGTGTTGAAGCATACGAACAAATGTAAAACTCTTCTCACATCGTTATTCTCGGTAAGTGATTGGTTTCTGAGTGTAAAACCAGATCAGATACTCTATTCAGTCCATCGATCCTAAATCAGTATGTCTACTTTCTGAAAAATGATGTTGAAATAGGTTCGTACCCGTAGTCGATTATGAAGCTCAACCGATTCCAATAGTTTTCGTTCGCACCTATACTGCTAAAAATGAAGGCTTTTAAAATTTGACAAGCTTTTAAAGCATTGCGATCTCACCAGAGAAATTACTTTTTGAGTAAGCAAGTAAGGTATTAAATTGGTTCAAAAGTTCTATTCCTTTTTCAACGTCTTCCTTGACTTGCTAGCTTCGACGGAAAAACTTTTACTTTCTTTTGTAGTTCCTTGCACCGACGAAGTTCTTTCTTTGGCTATTTGAGGAAGATTTTTTAAATGAGCTTACTTGTGTTCTATCATCAGGATCTTCGCATGCCAAAAAGGAAATTCATTCTTTACACTTGTATTGACATTATGCGACATTGTGCTCAAAAGGATAGGATCCCAAAGATTAATTAAATTCGAAAGATGCTGATTCAACCCTTGTAAGTCACATAAAATCGTGAGAAACGATGTGACTGGAAACTTTTGCTTTATATAGTCAGGGCCTAGTGCAGTCCATATCGAAAATTTCAAAAAGAAGAGATTGAAATTCGAAAACTGCAATCTTTCATTCTAAACAGAATTGGTAATTCGATACATTTTTGAATTTTTTGCAAAAAAAAATTGAAAAGATGTAATTTATTTCACTTACCACAATCGGACCAAGTTCTGGTTTCTTTCTCAAAGATTGTTTCAAAAAATGTCAGGGCTAGAAAGTTTTCCTCGTGTTGTGCTATAAATCGTATGGAGCTTCAAAAATTGATAGGATGTAATATAGTTTAAGGCACTCGTAAAGACCATTTCCGAAAAAAAATTCATGATGAATTGAAAATGAAATGGATAGAACATTCAAATCGTGTAGAACTTTACGGTTCACTCACCTACGCAAAGGGTATTTTATGAATTAAATCTTATATATAAAGCTGAATGTCTGTTTGTCTGTCTGTATGTCTGTCTGTACGTATGTTCCGAATAGAAAATTCCATTTCTGAACCGATCGGGACCAAACTTGGCACACATACACTTCGGGCCCCGGCGGGTGTCATAGGCTACTTTTCGTCATCGATCGATATCGATTTTATCGATTTTTTGCAAAATTTGAGCTACGGGGCTGAGAGTCGGCACAGGGGGGTAAGTGAGCATGGGGTTTCCGAATACAATATTAGTTTTTAAAATCGTGCATTACTTTTATCGATTTTATCGATTTTTTGCAAAATTTGAGCTACGGGGCTGGGATTTGGCACAGGGGGGTAATCGAGCATGCTGATCACCCCCGTGGGGGTGATCAGCATGCTCGATTACACCCCTCTGCCAACTCCCAGCCCCGTAGCTCAAATTTTGCAAAAAATCGATAAAATCGACATCGATCGATAACGAAAAGTGGACTGTGACACCCGCCGGGGCCCGAAGGGTATGCGTGCCAAGTTTGGTCCGGATCGGTTAAGAAATGGAATTTTCTATTCGGAACATACGGCGGAGCCGGGTAAGCCAGCTAGTATAATATAAACCACTCACCTTACTCTATGGCGTGTTTATATCAACCAACTATGCAAGCATTGGTGTTTCATGTTCCACTTGTGTAGCATGCACATCCATAGTTATTGAGCTCATCAAACAATAGATGTGAAAAAAGAGTAGATCACATTTTACTCAGTGGTCCACCAGTTGTGTCGTATCAAATCATTGCCGCTGAAAGTGTTCGGTCGTCCCAACAGTAAACCTCATTTCTAAATTAATCAGTGTTTTTGTTTACCAGGCAAACTTGAGGTACTGTCCTATAGGCAAAACAAGCTTTAGGCAATGACCAGTGATTCACCTAAGTCGTAATTTTGGTAATGTTTGGAGCTTAGAACATAAAGATTTTCAGCTCGTAAAATTCGGATCTTATTCCAGATAGTGCAACCCCTACTAATCTCCAACTTGATGATCATACCATCATACAGTAAAGACAGTTAAGTATCGAGTTTTTTCAAAAGTTCTACCGTTCTCAAAATTCATTCGAATTAAAACAACTCTTTTTAAAAATGATCGCTGCGAATGCAAGAAATTGAGTTATAATCCACAAATTCTTGGCAAGTCCTTGCATACTCAACAATCATGCAGGAATAAAGAGAAAGATTTTTAGGAGCACATTACTAAATTTTCCCGTTTGAAAGCCCCTTTGGAGGAACTTGGTCTCGATTTTAGTACATCTCTGCCGACTATTCCATATACAATCAGCAGTGCTTGTGCAAGCATGCTGATTGCATATTGAGTAGTCGGCTGAGCAGTACTAAAAATCCTGTAGTTCCCTGAAAAATTTGAGAGTACCCAGATATTTCGCATTTTTCAGAGTTGTAGATAATGCCTTTTCTCGTCAGTTTCTTTCAAAATTTTTGTCCCTGACATTTAGAAGTTTGCTTTTGTTTCTTAATTATGCATTAATTCAGGCCTAATTTCAATATAGCGAGCAAAACTTCTGTGTGCATTGCGCTTATCACTTTTGTATGTTGTTACCACTTACCACTTTTGTATGTTTGTTTTGCATGTTTATGCTGAAAATATCGGTTCAAAACTATATCTCGGTGGATTTGTTTTACATTGGAAAGAAATGAAAGTTGCTTTTTTTGAGTTTTTGCAGCAAAAATTGGTAATATTCAGGAAACCGAGCATATCAAAAGCTCCAATTCCATGATTAAAGTCTCGAAGGCTCGTAGCAGACAACTTGCCATTTTTCATTTTCAATTTCTTTCCTGACATCCAATCACGAAAAAATGTGGCAAGAGCCCGAATAGATAAATGCATGTGTTATAGGCTGGAGCAAGTGAGAGGTTTGTGAAACTTTTTGGAGCGAAAATCCGCTTTTTTAGCAATATGAGTTGCTCTTATGTTTTGGCTTCAAACTTCGGGTGAAGCACGACTAAACAATGTTCAGTTTCCATTGTAAAGTTTGCTTTGCTTTGTCGAGTCACCCTTCACAATTTTTTTTCGATTCGTCCTTGCTCTGCTTCAAAAAACGACATTCTTTTTTTTTCAACCTAACTCCAACTGTCACATATGTTCCAAGAAAAGTTCCCTTTTTGAGTTTAAATTTCGCAACAAAAGGCAGAGACAAAAAATCTCTTATTCAAATTGTTGTCCTTTCAAGGCTCGTAACTACAGGGCGGACAGAGACTTGTGAAAACTAAATCTTATATATAAAGCTGAATGTCTGTTTGTCTGTATGTATGTATGTATGTATGTATGTCTGTACGTATGTTCCAAATAGAAAATTCCATTTCTGAACCGATCGGGACCAAACTTGGCACACATACACTTCGGGCCCCGGCGGGTGTCATAGGCTACTTTTCGTCATCGATCGATAACGAAAAGTGGACTGTGACACCTGCCGGGGCCCGAAGGGTATGTGTGCCAAGCTTGGTCCGGATCGGTTGAGAAATGGAATTTTCTACTCGGAACATACGGCGGAGCCGGGTAAGCCAGCTAGTTAATCATAAAAAAATAGAAGCAAAGAGCTCATGGATGATTCAATTTATGTTTATAAAAACAGTATGAGTAGAGGTGTTAAAAACTCGTTGAACTTTTGAAACAACTCGACACCAAAAGTATGTCCAACATTGTGGCGCGTTCCCCCTCCCCCCTTCCCCCTCACTTTCTCCCCCCCCCCCCCCATCCTCCAAACCACGCCGCTTTGCTTTTGAGAAAACACGCCAATCGAAATTTTTATTTTTGAAATTATTGAATATCTTTATTGATTTTGTCGACTATTTGCAAACTTTAAGCTTCGATGCTGGGTGACTCACACAGGGAAGTGAGTATGCTGATTACGGAATTATGGGCCGGGGAACTGCCATAAAAGTAGAAGAGCAAGTTTTTCTATGGAATTGTGGGATAGCGATTTTTAACATAGTGTAATAATGTCCGGGCAAAGCCGTATATGCCAGCCAGCTAGTCATGATGTTAGTGTTGCGGATTAGAAAAGGGCACTGCTGTTGCTTGTGCTCGTCTTTTTTGCACTGAGAACAGTGGTAAATAATAAAAGTAGGTTTAGCTTGCTCTCAAACATCGATTAACCTCGAAGAGTCTCCTCAGTACTTTTGTAAATACGAGTATTTGTTGATATCAGACAAAATTACCCAGAGTAGACTTTCCCTCGAGGTGTCGATGATGAACTGACGGGCTTCGGTCAGTGATTTTTGCCGAATTATAGATGTCAATACTCTATGATGCTGGAGATCAGAAATGGATCGAAATTTTCTAACTCTTTGCTTCAAAACAAATTTGAAAATAACGTAAGAAAAGACCAAGTCTCAACAAGCTTAATTCGCATTCAATAACACATAGTTTGCCATTAATTGTCAAGTGGTGATTAACTGAAGCTGCCTGCTAATGCAGAGTCACAGAGTTCATCTAATTCTTCAAATGAGTTAACCCTCATTCTACTCATACGAAGTTAATAACAGCTCGCGCCAAATTTCTTGATTTGCATCCTCGAAGTTTCTACAGTTCCTTAACAGGAATATACCCAAGAAAAGAGCCACTTCTTTGCCACCTAATATAACATTAAACGGATTTTTTTCACGTTCAGAGCTATCAGAAGCATTGATCTATTAGAGATGGGGAATAAGAAGAATTCTGGTTGGACGTATAACATCCAAGATCTCAAGTCACTATCACAAAGATTAGCGTTCCTAAAGGCATATCGGCTTATAGAAGATCTGCTCACCACCACAGGTTCATACCACTCCTAGCTAACATCGTTTCACAAAGAAACTATAATACTCAAGTTTCAAATATTACCAGAAGCTTGCAGACTTTTTAGAGTATAGCGACCCTACGGGTCGCTAGCAAGTGGGTCCGGGCAGATACAATATAAGGGCTTAGTTGTGACTATAAATACTTCTTAAGTTTCCTACTCCTTTCCTGAGAACATTTTTTGCGAAAAGCATTCTACAAAAAGAGAACTGCTCGAAGAAGCGATAATCTCCACAAATCAATCAGCTTTCTCGAAATTCCTGCTACAACAATGCATGTAGAATATTGTTTTTCTCTCGTTTACCACGCTCTTTCCGCAAATTTCCCCTCCTCTCAGAGACATTCAGATAACACCCCCCCCCTCCCACTTTTCTACCCTCTCAAAGAGAATCTGCTCTTTCAGTTCTTCTCAACAAGTTCCATAGAAGATTGTTAAGTAAGTAGCAGAACACCTGGGCCGGTAGTAATCCCCCGACCTGGCGGCATGTTTCGCCGTCAGGTCGCCGCCAACTTTACGTGAAGTCGGCGCGGACACCGAGCTCGAATTTGCGCCCTCCCAACTCTTTTCAACACGTATTTCTGGTCGAGGAGGTCATAGTGACCTTAGGGAACCTTACCTGGCAACTGAAGGTGCTAAAAACCCTCCTAAACAGAGTTGCAGAGGAAGGCAGGAAGTGCTGGCGGCAACTTCGCGAGCTTACCTGGCGGCATCTCGTCGAAATTTTAGCGCTGAGAGATGCCGCCAGGTCAGAGAATACGAAAAATAGCGTGCTCTTTGGAGAGATCAAGGTGCCACCATCCTGACGTGCCCCTACCATGTCAAGGTGGTGGCACCTTGCTGGCGGCGTCTGCAAGTTTGGGCAGTGCAGCAATATTACACAATTTACGTCGGGCGAAAAATCAAAAATCTACTATCCATCAAGAAACTATCATTTTTCTCATTATATGAGTTTTTCTTTTTTGGAACGACGATTTTCTTACAGAGAAAAAATCTGGTAATGCCTGAAAACCATAGAGAACCCCACCTTTCTTGGAAATCCCTTCTAAATCTCGTTTGCACCGATTTCTCCCCTCTCTCGCTCATATCAATCAGCTGTTCTTTCAGGTCAAAGCCTCTCACGCAATGTACCGATCCTTCTTACAGGCGGCCACTTACCACTGCATTCCTCCTATTGCTGGTGCAAACGTCAATGGTTGACCGAATGGTCGAATGATTAACTTGGTGGCACTTGAAATTAATCACTTAGGTTCGACCGCGCGCGAGGTAGCAGTTTTGCGGCTGTGTGAATCATCAAAATTTGATGTGCGAAATATTGTGTACTAAGGTTAAGTAAGATTATTGAAACCTAGAATCACTCCGCGAGCTGCCGCCGAAGATGGCAACTTTCCGTGATGTGTGCCAACTTGGCGGCATCTTTGATGCCGCCAAGTAGGGTAGATTACTACCGGCCCTGTAGTTTTGGAAGTAGAAATACACCCATAACAACTATGTGTACTACGAAAAACACTTTTCTCTCAGAATCAATTCCGACAGCAACGAAATCAATCGTGTAAAAAATTTTCCAAAGAATCCTTCAATTTTTTCGCCAAAGGAATATGAAGTACTACAAAAGGAGATCCCTCCCCGAAAAGCGCGACTATTGAGCCACCTGAAGATCGTCAATCAACATACAAAGAATTCGTTTCCCTGTCCGATCAAATTGCCCTACGTGCCGCTTGAAGACCGTTTAAAAATTATAAGAACTGCCCCAAACGTACAAAAATCTATTTCCCTGCCCGATCGAGTTGTCCTACGCGCCGCTTACAGACCAATAGTAACTATTCAAAAAGGAAATTTATGCCCTATGTGCCGCTTGAAGACCGTATATAGAAGAAAAAGCAACTACGACTCAAACAAAAAGAAAACAACGAATTCAAATTTACAGCGTATTCTCAAATTGCCGTACATGTCACTTTAGGACTTTCAATTCTGAGAACTGCCAGAACGCACAAAAATCTGTTTCCCTGCCCGATCGAGTTGTCCTACGCGCCGCTTACGGACCAATAGTAACTATTCAAAAAGGAAATTTATGCCCTATGTGCCGCTTGAAGACCGTATATAGAAGAAAAAGCAACTACGACTCAAACAAAAAGAAAACAACGAATTCAAATTTACAGCGTATTCTCAAATTGCCGTACATGTCACTTTAGGACTTTCAATTCTGAGAACTGCCCCAAACGCACAAAAATCTGTTTCCCTGCCCGATCGAGTTGCCCTACGTGCCGCTTACAGAACGATAGTAACTAATTAAAAAGGAAATTAATGCCATATGTGCCGCTTGGAGACCGCATATAGAAGAAAACCAACTACGACCAAACAAAAAGAAAACAACAATTCAAATTTACAGCGTATTCTCAAATTGCCGTACATGTCACTTTAGGACTTTCAATTCTGAGAACTGCCCCAAACGCACAAAAATCTGTTTCCCTGTCCGATCGAATTGCCCTACGTGCCGCTTACACACCGATACCTAGTTGAAAGCACCAGCGGGACCCAGTTGCACAAGCAAAAGCAAGGCTGTTCTTAGGTAAACATCCAAAAGTACAAGCGAGAAGAAATTACTCACGCACTTTCTTGTCTACACGCGGAAGCAAGATAATCCTAAAGTGACTGTTCTTAGTCAGAGCATTTTTACCAAGAGTTGAAAACATAGATGAATTTAGCTCGAGTCACGCTGTTGCGCAATTTGACATCATTTCAAAAGCAACTAATAGAAGTACAACATATTTAAAAGACATATAACAAGCTCAAAAAAAGCAGCTACAAATAACCACCCGGACACCCGGACGCTGGCGACCCAGTCTCAAAATCATGGCGGCCTCATGATTGCCTTTCGAAATAGTGTGACCCTTTTACGAAAATATGCTTGGTCACTCGTTTTGAAATTTGGCAGCGTTCCAAAACGCATGTCACTTGGCAGCAATCCAATTCCAAAGATCAGTGTATTTCATCATAATTTTTACGTCTGCGGCCTCCTCATTTGCCATGATCCAACTATCGGGGGGCTTAATGGGTAAACAACGAATTCGTTATATATTACGTAGTGATTCAAGTGACTCCTCAATTTCTTAGTTTTCTGAAGAGAGAAAAAAAAACACGTGTGATATTTCAAAGCATTTCTTCAACTTTTATCCTCAAGTGCCCATAGATCCATTTTTTCGGGGTTTTCGGGGATTCAAGGCGAAGTATAGCTTTTCATTTTTGCACTTTCTTGTTACATCAACTGCAATAGGTGTGGGAAAGGGTGTTTCCATATTTTATCGGGTCAACACCAAAAAAGTTCATTCTCTGGAAAAAAGCGAGAAATGGCTGTCTCTAAGTATGAGTCATTGAGTTTTATAGGTTCTTGTAATATATCGGACAGTATATTTCAAATTTTGTAAAATTTAACTGCTCGAGAAAAGTTTCTCAGGAAGGAGTTCACATTTTTTTCAAAATTTCCGAGTATGAAGAACGCGAATTATTTTGTACGAAATGAAAATTATGTAGATGATGAGCAAAATACAAATTTGCGAAGGCTGTAAATACACAAAATTCCTTGCATAGAATGTGACATTTATCAAGGCTTTGTCAGCAAATTCTCTGTCGTCCAATGTCCACTTATGTGTCAGCTTATGTCTACATTGGCTCATGTGGTCAGATATGAAACGCAAATTTGCTCTATTTAACCAAATATAGATACAAACATGACTGAAAAAATAGAATTGCAGGAACAGAAACTATAAAGCATTATAGATTTTTTTTAAAATTTGATTGATCACAGCTAAGAAAGTTATAAGCTTCGAAGATAGAATCAATGGACCTTTTCTAAAGGCTGTAGGAAAAGCTTGCCTCTCTTACAGTCCAATTAAGGAAGCGAAGAAACTGAGATGCTTGGAACCTAGTAGTGTTCTTAGTAATATAATTCCTTTTTCAATACTCTTCTTAGGATTCATAAAAGATAATCTCTATTTCTGTTCCCCCCAAAGAATATTTTCTAAGAAAAACTTGGAGAGCGTTTCAGTAGCTTGTATTTTCATAAGCGATATAACGGCTTTTGTTGAAATATCCAGTATATTGGTGAGAATGACTATTTCTCATACATATTCATGCCGACTGAAAATGTACTCTATATGAATATATTATTGATTTCAAAGCTTCTGAATATGTAGTCAAGGCACGAGCGAGCTTTTTACAGCTTGAAAGGGGCTTAAATATAAAAAAATTTTGGAAACAAATTTTATCGTTTTCTCAAACTCAAAATAATGCTATTGAAATACAAAGTAATTATTGCAACTAACAAAATCGATGTTCTGAACTTACCTCTATATGTCATTTGTATTCGTGATCCACTCATTCGAACTGGCGCGCCATTGAAAAGCCAGTATATCTGAAATCGATATATCGATCGAACAGTTGTTGTGCAATACAGTTGCATCCAGATCACGCGCAATCGCACTTACTCTAGGTTTTGGATTTCCCACAATATTGGCTTGCAGAATCGCATCGGTCCCTTCGGTAAGACGGAGACCCCGGGGTGGAGATCGTACAATAGGTCTTGAACCTGGCGCTCCTTTGGTGTCGAACGATGCGAGCTCGGGTTCCGTTTCCGACTCAGAGATACCATAGGGCTAAAGTTCATAATTAAAATCCTTATACAGCATCTATTGAAGGCAGTGTCCCAGCAGATTTTGCTTCCATCTTTTTGCATGTTTTGGGCCTTTTCAATCCGTAGACCCCGAATTTGAGCTTCAAATGGTGAAGAGACCTTTTACGGGGCGTTTATCCAATTTCCAAAAAGCGGCTCGGACGAGAATTTCAGTGGAAATTTGGGAGGCCCTGGCACGGACACCCTGCTGCCTGTAATTTTTGCTTTGGATAGCATGCATAATGAGGGAGAGCGGTCGTGGGGTCCCGCGCCAAACGGTAGGCGAAGTCGGCCGAGCGCGCCGGTTGTCGCGCCGGTTCAAGAGCTATTTTCTTGGCCCAGGGGGGACATCAATCAGCAGGACTGCGCCTAGAGGTCAGTGTGGTGACCACAAACCCCACCATAGCAATATCCCTCAGGGCGCGAATCTGCCGGGACACTGCCATTGAACTTGATGACCAGAGGAAGAGGATGGTAAATGCCTTGCTAAAAGAAAGCAACAAATTAGGCACAAGCACAAAAATCTTCAAGAGAAAAGTGTGCCCGAATCGAGCAGATCACTCGGAAATTTGACCTACAATACTGTCCTCATTTTTTAAGCATCCTCTTTAACTTTTATCAGAATCTTTTGGATAACTTCCACAAGGGAAGACTTGAATTTTGCAGAGTCTTCGGAATATTTCTTCTGAGAGAAGTGTGCCTCTCTTGTGTCTGATACTTTGCTTTGTGAGCTATAATCATTATCCCGCAACTATATAGAACCTAGAACTGACCGTAACTATAGAAATGGTTCACCACACATTACCCAAGTTACTAATGTCATATGTCATTTCTAGAGCACACGATACCGATTGCGGTCACAAAAGGTTGCGAGGCTAACCAATCCCTTCATAAATGGTGCGTATTGTGCAATTATACTATAAGCGCAGGGCAAGAAAAAAAGCGCGGACACCAGAAAATATATCGCACACGTAAGATTTAGACCTCAAGAAGCAATTATTTCAAACCATACCGAGCTTAGAATCAGAAAGGGGTTTTACAAATATTATTCAATGGTGTGCAGTTGTTCCCTTGCTCTCGCTTTTTTTTGCTTGCTCATAAAAAGCTATAAGATATTAATTCATCATGACGAGTCGTCCCTTAAGGTGAATAAAGTCGTACTTCGTAGTACGGAGGGGGGGGGGGCGGGGAATGGGAACTCCTTGTTAAAATACACAAGCTGGGAACTGGCTACTAGGAAAAGGGTATATGGGATTAAAACAAATTTCTACTTTTGTCTCGGAACAACTTATGGAGCTTTCCAACAATTTCAAAACATTTTCTAGTGCCACAACTCTTTATCTGGAACAACTCCCCCACCCTCCCTCCCCTTTTCCAAAAAAACTTAACCGCACTTACTCAAAATTACAAAAAATTAGAATTATTCATCCTACAACGATTTGAAAAGCTCCACAAAAAATATATCAACATATGTTCAATGTCACATCTCTTCACCTGAAACGCTTTGGCTTTCTCCCTCTTCCCCCCCCCCCCCCCTTCTCTCCTCCTTTCCCGAATATGTGGCGAGAGCTAGTATTACTATGAATATTCACTTACCGTCTCCAGCACTGCTATCCTGATCATTTGACATACGTCCTTGCTTCATCATCTGCTTCTGCGCTACACTAGCTGGTCTACCTTGCTGATATAAAAAAGTCATGAAATTATATAACAGTAATAAAAATACAACATATAAAATGATAAATTTAATCAAATTGCAATAAATATAAGAAAATTGTCAGCTATTCTTAGAGATTACCAAACGCTTCTTTCGACATGCTGGTCAATCGATATATCGATTAATTTGTCACATTACCTGTGCTTGTCTTCTGTCTCTAGTCAAACGTGTTTGTTCTTCAGTGAACCATCGATCGTACTGTTCTTTTGCAAGTAGCTAAAACGTCACCGTTACCGTAACCCTAACCTTTCCAGCAAAAAATTAATTTTTGATCTACCTGCGCAGTAGAAGTGGCTTCACCATGGACATTACTGGCTTTACATGTGTATTCGCCGATATCGTCATTAAACATCTGGGGAATTGTCAGCGATACGATACCCGTTTGAGAATCGTGTTCGATCTTTGCCCTGGAAAAGGTGGGTCTACGTTGAAAGGAAAATTACAGGTTTGTTTAACAGTACGTGATGAGATGATTGGCTGCAATTATTATGCGGAGCTCTTTAAATGTTTTTTCTTCAGACAATTAGTCTAATCCTCTTTTAACTCTACTGATCCGTATGCTGTTTGTCTGTCAGGAAATTTGTGCAAATTCAGGATTCAGTTCATGAAATGAAATATTTGCAGGGCATTGCACAACACCAGTTCAGTCTTCTAAAACGATTATCTCGTCAAAATTTTCAACAGCATTTCAAAGAGGTGCAGCTATGTGTGTAGCTTAGTCTTCTTTGAAAGCGAACACCCTGATAAATTTTCTGAGCCCCCGTCCCTTAATGGTGGACCAAAGGGGAAGATATCTATAAATTTAACTTTGAGGTTAATTTTTTTGTAGAAATTATTTTTTGGGATATTTATAAATTTACCAGTGGAGGTTAATTTTAAAGTAAATTCCCTCTTCAAGTGAAATAGTGAAAGTTCACGAACGAGTATTGCTACAGAAATGTGCAAGTGACTTGCTCATAACTAGTAAATGTCAAAGTGATTTTTTAAAGAAGTTGAATTAGCCCTATAAAAAATTTATGCCCCCCCCCCACGCCAAACGAAAATCCTGGGAACAAAAAAAATTCATCTGACCATTGTTACTAGCATGCACTCACTACATATAAGCTGGGCATACGCTCAATCCAACCCTTTGTTCTCGAGGAAGAGTATATTACTGTAACCCAATGATTTATGCCTCCTTATAGAAAAAAATACTGTATGAAACTAGTGGATGATGTGTAATGAAGATCTTGCTAACCAATCTGGAATAATTGACAACTTACCGATAGTTTTGAAATGGTTTGCCGTTCTTGAGCCATTCCACCTTGGGAAGTGGAACACCTAAATAATATTTATAAGATACGCCGCCAAGCCAAGAAAGAGATTTTCAAGATTACTCTTGCTAGAATATTTGTCTTGTTTTGAAGAATACAAATGAGTTATAGAACTTTATAGAAATAAGCAATTTTGAGAACTCACGTTTCGAGACTATGCTGTTCGACCCACTTTATCCACGTCGCTATCGGTTAAATCAGCGAACTGACCAATAGCGATGAGGACCAAGTGGGCATCCTCTCCGCTATTGGTCAGTTTACTGATTGACTAATATCAAAGCGGACGAAGTGGATCAAATGGATTGAATATGGTTCATGCCTTACCTGCTACTCTCGCTTCCATTACCATGATATCACCAGCTTCAATGGTTGATGTCGTAACTCCTTCAGAAAAATTGGTGCGCTAGGTCCTATCGGTGTCTGTGGTGGAGCTGGTGAGTACCTAAACTCACAAGCTCTGGCTACGGTAAGCATTATAACAAGCAATGCAGGTCCTACACAGCGTTATGTTTTCCTCCAGGAACTGGTGTTGGGGCTGGTGCAACTATCAGAATACAGGTGGATTGACGCAAACCGGCTGCATTGGCTGCCTAAAATGAAAAAAATGGATTAAAGAAGAGAAGAGAGAGGAAGACAGGGGGAAAAGATGAATAGAATGTGTAGGAAAAGCGCAAAACTTATCACAACGCCAATCAACCAAGTTCGGCCGCTCCATCTTACCCGCCCACATATAGGGTATAAAAAGACATAAGTCCCGCCCACTGGGCTCTTGTGCGACAGCATGCCAGCTTCGGCTGGCGTCCTTACCATCATGCTGAGGTGAGCCTTCAACCCCACCCCCATCATTTACTTCCCCTTTCCTTTTGTCTGTTCTCTCCACCTCTTTGATAGTTATCTCTGTAATATGTTTTCCGTATCTCTTTCTGTATTTCCTGTACATCCTTCCGTGCTCCTTTTACATTACTTGCCCTTTACACCATGTTTCGTACATACACTGATAAAAGCTTAGTAATCCCTTGTGTGCTGTAGAGAGAAGGAGTCGCTTAGAGAGAGGTTACATTCGTAAGTGTTACTGGACAAAGTCGTCCCAATAGGCATAAATCTTTATTTTATTACAAATGGAAGGACTAAGGAATGAATGAGAGTGAATGAATGAATGAATGAATGAATGAATGAATGAATGAATGAATGAATGAATGAATGAATGAATGTGAATGAATGAATGAATGAATGAATGAATGAATGAATGAATGTGAATGAATGAATGAATGAATGAATGAATGAATGAATGAATGAATGAATGAATGAATGAATGAATGAATGAATGAGAGTGAATGAATGAATGAACGAATGAATGAATGAATGAATGAATGAATGAATGAATGAATGAATGAATGAATGAATGAATGAATGAATGAATGAATGAATGAATGAATGAATGAATGAATGAATGAATGAATGAATGAATGAATGAATGAATGAATGAATGAATGAATGAATGAATGAATGAATGAATGAATGAATGAATGAATGAATGAATGAATGAATGAATGAATGAATGAATGAATGAATGAATGAATGAATGAATGAATGAATGAATGAATGAATGAATGAATGAATGAATGAATGAATGAATGAGAGTGAATGAATGAATGAATGAATGAATGAATGAATGAATGAATGAATGAATGAGAGTGAATGAATGAATGAATGAATGAATGAATGAATGAATGAATGAATGAATGAATGAATGAATGAGAGTGAATGAATGAATGAATGAATGAATGAATGAATGAATGAATGAATGAGAGTGAATGAATGAATGAATGAATGAATGAATGAATGAATGAATGAATGAATGAATGAATGAATGAATGAATGAATGAATGAATAAATGAATGAATGAATGAATGAATGAATGAATAAACGAGTGAATGAATGAATGAATGAATGAATGAATGAATGAATGAATGAATGAATGGAATGAATGAAATGAATGGAGTGAATGAGATGAATGGAATGAATGAATGAATGAATGAATGAATGAATGAATGAATGAATGAATGAATGAATGAATGAGAGTGAATGAATGAATGAATGAATGAGAGTGAATGAATGAATGAATGAATGAATGAATGAATGAATGAATGAATGAATGAATGAATGAATGAATGAATGAATGAGAGTGAATGAATGAATGAATGAATGAATGAATGAATGAATAAATGAATGAATGAATGAATGAATGAATGAATGAATGAATGAATGAATGAATGAATAAATGAATGAATGAATGAATGAATGAATGAATGAATGAATGAATAAACGAGTGAATGAATGAAATGAATGGAGTGAATGAGATGAATGGAATGAATGAATGAATGAATGAATGAATGAATGAATGAATGAATGAATGAATGAATGAATGAGAGTGAATGAATGAATGAATGAACGAGAGTGAATGAATGAATGAATGAATGAATGAATGAATGAATGAATGAATGAATGAATTAATGAATGAATAAATGAATGAATGAATGAGAGTGAATGAATGAATGAATGAATGAATGAATGAATAAATGAATGAATGAATGAATGAATGAGTGAATGAATGAATGAATGAATGAATGAATGAATGAATAAATGAATGAATGAATGAATGAATGAATGAATGAATAAACGAGTGAATGAATGAATGAATGAATGAATGAATGAATGAATGAAATGAATGGAATGAATGAAATGAATGGAGTGAATGAGATGAATGGAATGAATGAATGAATGAATGAATGAATGAATGAATGAATGAATGAATGAATGAATGAATGAATGAATGAATGAATGAATGAATGATGAATACATGAGTTCGTCCTCACCTGAGCTGTAAACCTTCCACTGTCCGCTCCTTGCACTTGTGCGATGACTAGCCGATGTACTAGTCCATCCTCTTCGAACTAAAATAGCAATTTCACCATATTTGTATGATTTCTGGCAAATTGCCAATGCCCTACTTCATAGTCTGGACAATTCGAAACGTTATGTCCATCCTTTAGCCATTTCACCGCCGGTACCGGATGTCCGTCCAACTGACATTGTAGCACTACACGTTCTCCAACTACGGCTCGTTTATCAGCTAGGGGCTAAAAAATGCCAAATTTATTGAGAAAAATTTGTCTGGGTTATTTTTGACCTACTCGAATGAAAGTTGGCGGCACACGATGCTCGTCGGCTCGTTCACCTAACGGAATTTTGAATGGCATTCCCTGTCAGAGGCAATGATAGAATTCTAGGTTATAAATAAGGGTCGTTGATGGTCGTTAGGGCCGATAGAATTTCGCCTGAAATTTCATCGTATGTGCATCAATAGCTTCTCCATGCAATAAAGTAGAGAAGGTACACATTGACAAGATTTATGGGTCTGCATGCTGGCATGTAAGGAGCACAAAGCGGAATATATTTTTCAGAGCAAGAAATGAAAATTGCGAATTAACAGTAGTGTGCCTTACTTGAGATAGAAATTTATTCTGATGCAAGATAACATAATCTGATGTAAAGTATATCCACACAAGAACACCACAACGTAAAGGAAATTTTAATTTTGAGAAATCAAGGTTAGCGAAGTCTTGATGCCCACGAGCAGCAATTAATAACCAGAGGCAGATCAAATGTGTTCAGGCGCCGTGACTCATAGGCATTGCGTAAGCTCCGCGCGGCAGGCGCATCGCTGGGATGAGAAGAAGGGAGATAGAAATCTTCTCAGGACACAGAGTCAGTAAAGAAGAGGGGAGCATAAAAAGCTGGAATCAAAGAAGCGATCCTTGATAGAAAGAATGTTCGATTTTATTCTTTGCTATGCTAATCATAATATTTCTATGACGAAAGTAAAAATTTGAAATGCATAAGTAAATCCTTATGGAAATGCAGGAAACTCTGATACGTAAAAGTGCCTTGATTTCTAATTCAGAGAGCTTTTACCTGCATAACTTCATTTTCCTTACACTGAATACTGACAAGTGAATTTAAACGCAGAACTAGAATTTAGGAAACTATTCAAAAAATAAGGTGTCATTGAAAAGCGGACAGTGTGCCAATTCTTTATGTAAACATTTGCCTTGATGATTCAAGCGATGTTGAATTTTCTTCCAATCACCAGGTTCCATTGTGTCATATGTTCCAAAAACAAATTTGAAGCGTAAAGGCAAAGGTTGAATCAAAACTAGTAGAATCATAATCCAAATTTCAAGACTAGACCAAACTTTGACTTACGAATGTAAGCAAACCAAAAAGAAAGTATTAAAAGTGAAGTAAGATGCGAGTAAGAGTGTGAGTTCCAAACCAGTCTGAGCTTTCTTATGCAAGAAATTCAAGTAAGCCCTTGACTTCCACTTTTCAAAAGATATGGAAGACGAATGAATCGCAAAATTTTCAGGAAAGGCTTGCATGAGTCAAAGATCGTGGTAAAATTTGCTGGTAAAAATTTGTGCCAAATCCTTTTTTGCAAAAGAAAAATTTCTGTACTCCCATTATTTGTAAAATTACTATAACACTCAGCTTAACTTGACGGTCACATCTCCACTGATCTAGTCCCTACAGTACTTCCAAACAGCTTTGTGTATGAATGTAGATCACCTTATTTCGCGCTTTAAATGTCCGTACAAATGATAGACGGAAGATAAAATTGTTTTAAAAACCTAAAATTCAAGCACCGTTATTGCTGTCAGCATTCATTTCAAAACTCAGAGGATTTTTTAAAAAAGTATGCTGACTCTCGAAATAAATGAAGGACGAGAAATTTTACATGCAATCTTCTCCGTTATATCAGCAACCACGCTTTAAGAGAAAGGGTAAGCAAAAGCTAATTTTTTACTCACGCAGGAAGTACCCAAAGGTGTGTATTACAAGTATGGGTTTAGCTGTGAAATTACAAGAAATGTTATGTCGCTAACTAGGTCACGAAATTGTGATAGGGTTCATACTAGTAAATTATGAGCGCCAATTTCTTGCAATATGTAGTGAAGTTACGGTAGAACTAAAAACCAGAGTTATTAATCATACTTTCATAAACGGAGAACAACGTCCAGAACTGTGAGTTTTCGCCTTTTGGATAAAAAGACTTAATTCTCATAGTGTTTGCTCTTGTTAAGCAGTTTTTTTATTATGATACGTTTCAAAAAGCAGGTCGAATACTGGTGAAATTTAAATTGGTGAGTAATTTTCACTACAGCAGAAAATTTCTTTATGATGAGGGCTCGGCACAGGTGGCTTGTAAGCAAGCTGGATATCGCTTTTGGGACGGAAAGCAAAGGAGGTGCAGTATTGAGGCCGAAAAGACATAAAAATTTTGAGGTTTCCAGTCGACGTTCCGTTTTTGAGGGTTTTCTACGTTTAGGGTTAAGGGTCAAAAGGGACTTTGCGAAAATTCGCGAAAGTCAAGGAGGACTTCGTTTTTGTATTTACCATAAGCCACCTCGTGTCGAGCCCTGTGTACGATGGCCTTCAAAATGGACGTAAGGAGTCAAAAGCAGTGTCCGCTTAAATCTCGGTATACGGAATTTTATATGGGTTTTAAGTAGCTCATTGACGACGATGTGTGCCACCGGTGAACCGCCGCTGGCCCACACCTCTTGCAAAGTCACATTATTCGTAGGTCTAGTATTTTTTCCCACTTAACAACATTTTATCCAATTTTTGCACTATTGAGACCTGTAGGTTCCGTCGTTCAAGAAAATGTTTATAGTTGTTCACAAAACAAGCTTGCAATTCATAAACAACCGCAAAACCTTCCCACACTGAAAGTGTTGTGCAAAATCGCGTCGTCCCACAGCGCCGCTGTGGGACGACGCGATTTTGCAATGAATCGAATTCACTACAGTGCATGTAAAACCGGTGGCTAATCGGTAAACATTAGGGGGAAGATGGATTCGAGACAAGTGTGTTGCTCTGTCAAGTGGTGCCGCTCTTCCATAGCTCCCACTTCAACTTCGTCTCTGTCAAAATAGAGCCCCTATCTCTCTCGTAATAGGGAAGACATTAGCTTACGCGATTAGCGTAGAATTTTCAGAATATGGTCGTCGAGAAGAAAGGAGAATGCATATGATTATTTTTGAAGCAAATATTTTGGATTAAAGTAAAGCAGTGCCTATCTCTCTTTCTAGATAAGAATGATGTTTCTAGAAAAAGAAAAAAAGAGCAGAGATGAGGAAAGAAGAGAAGGGGTGTGAAAAAATTGAAGAAATATGATAACAATAATTTTCTTGAGGTTTTCCTCTCAAAGATCGGATTCATATGCTACGGTCTTACTTCTCCCTTCTATGGAAGAAAATTGAATCAAAAAATCTGTTAGCGTACAATTTTCAAAACTGTATCCTGGGAGGAAAAAACAAAGGTTGAAAAAATTTTACAGAAAACTCAACACATAATAAGGTTCAGAAGTGCATATCAAATTTTCTACACAGTGGCAAACCGAGGGGGGGGGGGTAAAGTCGTAAAGTTTTCAAAATTTACTTACATGCATTATAAAGATGTGCAAGTACTTGTTTGATCTTGTAAATAATTAAAATGATTTTTAGAATTAGGAAACAGCCTTGTAAAAAGGTTTTTGGGATTTTTCTATGGGTTACGGGCCCGCAAAAATTTTGGGAAGCATCCCAAAAAATTAAACTAATTGCAGAAGGTATGTCGCCAAGAATAACATGAAAAGAAGGGAGGTTAAGCCTTTAAAAAGTGAAAAAATAGCACTTTACAGAAAAATCGGTTGTCAGTTTCTGTTCCCCTCAAAGGATTATTTTTGCATGACATCTACACGTTTTATAGCAGCTGTAAACCAAAAGATATTTCGCCATTTCTTTTTCTCACTCATCGAAAAGTTTACAAGCCGTCAAATTTTTCCGAAAGCATATGGGGAGCGTAAAGGTATATCGCCGCAAAAACTATGAGAATCCAATGCATGCAAAACCATAGTCACAGAACATTCCAGACATTTTTCGGTATTTTAGGATTCCGAAAAATCTCATGACCGCAATCCTAGAATCGTTTTTTGCTATAAAAATGCAGCTCTGTTCCAGTTGCTCCCGGTCCACTCATGTCTGCTAAGGTGAAAGCTGTAGAAAAACCAAAAATTACTGCAGTTTCACTAAGATGTTTATAAGAAGACAGCACAATTCCTAAACATTTTACTCTCCCCCCCCCCGTTCTCTCCCCCCAAAAAATGCTGTTCAATAACTTCATAAAATAGGGAATCAACAATACGGCTATCTTCTGTTTTATCCCGATTCCTGACCTCAATGATAGATTCCATATAAATGGACGTAGATATAAAGCATAAGCAAATGTAAAGGAGACCATAACTTAACCTATAAACCTTTATAGGTCTCATAAATCCGTGGGAAGAAGGTAAGAGGAGAGAGAAAAAAAGAAAATTGCATTCTGGCCATGAAAATCCTGAAGGTCTCGTATTTTGACAGATTATGAGTGGCGAAAGATTTGAGTGACAGCTCCTGGGCAACGAAAATTGCGCGAAAAAAGGTCGCTTTTTAGTTGAGGTGAAATATGAGATGCTAAAAAATTCGAAGGATTGGTTGACAGCTGCAACATTATGACCTTTAAAAAATTTTCTTTCAAGCTGCTGAATATAGCTGACGCATAAAGGAGAGTTCAAGATACACCAATGAATGCCGAAATTTTGATGAAATCATAGGTAGAAATATGCAAAATTTTCTGGATGAAGAGACTTGAGCATGTGTTAGCCTCAGGACATAAAACAGCTTCAGGATAATTTTTACAAAGAGTTATGCATTGTTACACACTAAATGGTTAACACAGCTGTAGAGGGAGTTCTGCAGGAACAGTAGGATGTATAAAATAATTCAGAAAAATGATGGCAAAGATGTTTATGAAAAAGAAATCCGCAGTAACCAAGCCAGTCGCCTGTAATGGAGATACGGAGTCATGAGAAAAATGAGTAAAGAAAATTACAAAAAAAGATTACTTGGTGATAAACTACAAATCGGAGAATCATGTGACGTTCGGAATAGAAATTTATAAGAGGATGTAGATAGATATAAACAAGTAGAAATTCTGAAATTTTGGAAATGCGAAAATTTGAGCTTGAAGAACGGTCAAAATTTTCAAAAAAAAGCACACACTTAGCCTCCACTCACGAGACATTCCTTTTTTTACAAAAACCTTTCCAAATATTCTGGATTTTCAGAGGAAAAAAACTTGTCAGATCGTCAACTTTCATCAATTTTCGTAAAATTTA